AAAGAGGAAATGGGGAAGGGGATAGCTAAATATTATAATCGATTGTTCATTGGTTCCATTAAGACAACTAGAGGGGACATCATCCGAAAAATACTTGAGGGAATCCCAACTACAATCATATGACAAAAGAATGAGATCTTAACCAAACCTATTGAGGAAAGGGAGATAAAGACAGCAGTCTTCTCAATGAACCCCAATAATGCTCCAGGGAATGATGGTATGACAACTCTTTTTTCCAAGTTTATTGGTATGTAATAAAAAATGACAGTGTTAAGACAGTGCAAAGTTTCTTTCATTCAAAATTCATGCAAAAATCCATTAATCACACTATAATATCCCTCATCCCCAAGATCCTTATTCCTACTAATTTGATGCACTATAGACCTGTAAGTTTGTTTTCTGTTCTATACAAAATCATCTCCAAAATATTAGTGAATAGACTCAAACTAGTGTTAGGAAAGTGCATTAGCAAAAATCAGTCTGCTTTTTGTTGCTAGTAGACAGATTCTTGACAATGTAATATTGGCCCATGACTTTCTAACTTTTTTTTTGAAAAATAAAAGAAAATGAAAAGTGGGTTGTATGGTTGTAAAATTTGATATATCTAAGACCTACGATAGAGTTGAATGGAATTATCTAAAAATAATGATGAATAAAATGGGCTTTTGTGAGGCCTGAATCTGTTGGATTATGAACTGTGTATCTACTATTTCCTACTCTTTTGGTATAAATGGTAAAACCAAAGAATTTGTCAAGCCAAGGAGAGGATTGAGGCATGATAATCCCTTGTCACCCTATCTTTTCCTAATTCACTCTGAAGACTTTTCTAGTCTACTCAAAAATGCAAAGGTAAACAAAAAGATGACAAGAATGAAGATCAGCAGAAATGGTCCTTTCCTAGCCCATCTCTTTTTTGCAGTTCATTAATACTATGCAATGCTGAACAGGAGGATGCAAGAGAACTAAAGATAGTTTTGAAGAAATAGGAGTTAACATCAGGCCAACTAATTAATATGGAGAAGTCTTTAGTCTTCTTCAGCAAAAACACTAGCCAAGGAAAGAAACAAGCAATTTGTGATGTACTAGGGAAGATTCAAGCAATCACACAAGGCAAATATCTAGGATTGCCTATGATAATCGCCAGGATCAAATTTGGATTCAAAAGAGACAAAATAAAAAAAAAAGAGGGGTCATTGGAAGAATAAGTTACTAAGTCAAGCACGAAAGGAAATGTTGCTCAAGGCAGTAACAATGGCAATCCCAAATTTTGCTATGTCATGTTTCAGGCTCCCTTAGAGGCTCTATAAGGAAATTTGGACTATGATGACTAACTATTGGTGGGGACAAAATAATAAGCAGGATAAACAACACTGGATTGCATGGGAGAAATTCATCAAGGACAAGAAAAAGAAGGATTAAGCTTCAAGGACTTACAGGTATTCAACAAAGCTCTCCTAACAAAACAGATATAGAGGATAATGACAAATCCCAATTTATTAGTGAGTAAAATATTGAAGAGCAAATACTTTCAAGGAGGATCAATACTGTAAAGTAAAGTGCCAAAAAATGCCTTATGGATATAGCAAAGTCTCATGAGTACAAAAGAGGTAATTGGAGAAGGAGGCAAGAAAATGATAGGAAATGGAAGAGGAATTGATATTTGGAATGATAGATGGATCAGCAACAATAACAATGAGAAGAAAAACACATAGAAACTAGAGGGTTGTAGACTTCAAAAAGTTTCAAACCTAATGGTAAAGCACAGGTGGAACAGAGTCTTGATCTTCAAGTCATTTAGCAAAGATGATGTTGAACACATTTTGAACATTCCAATATGTTTGGCAAACAGAGAAGACTACATGGTACAGACACACTGCAGAAATAAACACACTACAGAAATGGACAATGCACGATTTCATCTAGTTACAAATTTCTACAATAAAACATAAACAAAAAGAAGGATAGAAGCGGAATAGGAGAAGGAATGTAACTACCAATAGACAAACAAAAAGCTGTGGAAAATAGAGCAAATTATCCCAGTGGCCACTAAACTTTTGCCATCGTCGAGTTTTGGTCACTCAACTATTAAAAATCTGGTTTTGACCACCAAACTGTATAAAAGGTAGACGCGAGGCCATTCTGTTAGATTTAGTCGTTAACTTCACCGATGTGTCTGTCCGCGCGATTTCCAATACAAAAGATAGGGTCAATTTAGGAAGTCGAAAATATCACTTGCACCTCTTCTTCCTCTCCCATGCATCTGTTCTTCATCTTCCTTGCCTAAACCCAAACATCAAACAATTGACAATCAAAGAAAAACGCAACAACGAAGAATTTTGGGGGATTGAGCGACAGCAGAACGGGTTGACAAACAAGATCTTCATTTCTTGGAATGATGGAGTGGCCCAAGTGGGTGATTAGACCAAGGGGCCAGCATTTTGATCCATCTGATGCATACGGTAAAGTTTTAAAATCCCTAAGTTTGTTTAGTTATCCACATCCCAGAATAGATTGTGTGTTTCATGTATGTATGGGCTACATTTTATCGTTGTTTTGGCTTTTTGCAATAAAGTGTAGAGATTTCATAGTACACTGATTAAAGTATTCTTAATGCTAGAAAAAGGGGTTAATAAATAATTCATTCATTGAATTTGGGTTTACTAGTTTTGACTAAAATTTTAATTTTTTTAACTAATCGCACGTCATGCAGTGCCAGGTTCTTCTCTCTTCACCATACGGATGTATCATGGGAGTAAATTCAATTGGCAAAATTACAGATACATTGATGGGCATGTAGATTATGTTGATTTATGTGATGCGGAAACAATGTCTGTGCATGAAATAAACTACATGGTGGATAAATTAGGGCATTATGGATGTATGGTGTATTACTATGTTGAGCCTGGAAAAGATTTTCGAAGTGGGTTGAAGGAATTATCTACTGATAAAGCCATTATCAGTTTTTGCAATTGGGCTTATAAGTATAAAATCATGGAGGTGTACTGTGACCACAAGTCAAAGAATGAAATCAAGATGATGGCCACAAAGTCCCTTTCTTCTAATCTAGAGCTGAGTAAAAAAGCCGCAGTCACCATCGAGGAACTTGATGAAAATGGAAATGTTATTAGGGAACCTGGATTTGAACTAGTGCCATTTACAAGATCAATTGGCAAGATAGATGTTGGGAACTCTTCTAAAGAGAATGCCTTGAATAATGGGGATGATGGGGATGCAAATGATAGAGGAAATATAGATGGCCAAGTGGAGACTGATACTAATTCGGATAGAGACTGTGATCACTTTAGTGCTGATAGGCATTTCTGTAGGGATGAAGAAATGTTAGAAGAATTGATTGTTGAGGGGCTAAAATCTGGTGTGGATTCTTCAAATACAGAGCAACCTAAATCTTCACAACATCCCAATTCTAATGTTGATTGAAATAATGCTGCACAACAGCAAGAATCAGTTGCAGATGAGCTAGGCAGACAACAACAAACAGCTGGGATGGATCCATGGTCACAACAATCAGGACTTGAAACTGAATTTGAACCTCAGCAGCAGCCTGAGACAAATGAAAAACAACCTACGGATGTGGGAACTGGAAACCAGTAGTCGCGGAGGAAGAAGCAAGTTAGAAGGAGAAGAAACAACAATAGAGCATCAGGAGAAGAGGCAGCTCCTCATTTAGATGATGTCCATGCATTAGATAAAGACACAGTGGTGACTGAGTTGCATAGTGATGCTGGCTCCTCAGATGAAGAGAATGATGATGACTGGAGGAATAGGTATGTTGACTTCAATTCGGAGAGAGATCTAAAAGACCCTAATTTTGAGTTTCACATAGGAATGAAGTTTGAGTCAGCTGAACAGCTAAGATTAGCTATTAGAACATATTCCATCATGAAAGGAAAACCAGTAAAGCCATACACAAATGAAAAAAAAAAGGTTTAGAGCAAAATGCAAACCTCCTTGCCAATGGTTTGTTTATGCTTCAGTTGAGAGAGAACTTGGGACAGCTGATTTGGTTGTCAAGAGCATAAATAATGAGCACACAAACTGCAGTCATGTATGAAAAACAAGAATATTTCTGCTAAGTGGCTTGCAAACAAGTACATGGAGAGGTTTAGATGTAATGTTGAAATGCCTCCAAGATTATTAAGACAAATAGTTGATGAGGACTTCAAAGTTGAAATTTCAAAATGGGTGGCATACAATGCAAAGGCAATTGCTAAAAAGGAGATTCAAGAGAATGCAGAGCAGCAATATAAGGACATATGGAGATATTGTACAGAAATTAAGAGGACACACCCAAATACCACAATGAAAGTTATGTTTATTCCCTTCAGACAACCTGGATGCAACCCAAAATTCATGAGACTTTATTGCTGTTTGGGACCATTAAAACAAGGCTTTCTTGACGGTTGTTGGCCCATTATTGGGGTTGATGGATGCCACATAAAGGCTGAATATCGGGGACAGCTGTTGACTGCTATTGGAGTAGATCCCAACAATGGATGGTGGTCCATTGCTTGGGCAGTGGTTGAGAGGGAAGCAACTAAACAGTGGAAATGATTTTTTGAGCTGCTGAAGAATGACTTGCAGATTGAAAATGGGTACAACTACACCTTTGTTTCTAACCAGCAGAAGGTATTAACTCCTTCCATTTGTATATGCACTGTACACAGATCTGTTTCAATTTACTAATGCCTTTTGTTTGTAATAATGTATAGGGTCTTGATCGAGCATTATCTGAGGTACTACCAAACAGTGAGTACAGATACTGTGTGCAGCACCTGTATAACAACTTCAAGGAGAAACATCGTGGACTTGCCCTGAAGACAAAACTGTAGAACATTGCAGCAAGTACTACTGAGGGACTATTCAAGAAAGCAGCAGCAGATCTGAAAAAATTTGACAAGGAAGCATATGAATGGGTGAAGAAAGCACCACATCCCAGTCATTGGTGTAAGACTTTTTTTTCAGAACATACTTGATGCGATATGTTGGTTAATAATTTGTGTGAAAGTTTTAATGGTCATATCCTTGAAGTTAGGCAGCAGTCAATTATCACAATGTTAGAATCCATTAGGGTATTTCTGATGGAGAGAATACAGAGAAGGACAACTGCAATGGAGAAGTTTGAATTGTCCATTGGTCCACTAATTAAAAAAATAATTGATGATAGAGTGATAGAATCAAGGCAGTGGAGAACCATTTGGAATGCTGTGGATGGATACCAGGTTAGGGGACCAAGGGGGGCCCAGTTTGCTGTTTATTTAAAGAAAAAATTGTGCACATGCAAACTGTGGGATCTATCAGGTATTCCTTGCTGTCATGCTATTGCAGCAATTCACAGAAATAATGGCGACCCCTATAAAGAGGTGTATGACTGCTACAACAGAGATCTGTTTCTAAAAATTTATCAAAATGTTTTGTATCCTATCAATGGACAAGTAATGTGGCCTGAAGCTGATGGGGTGGATCTTGATCCACCAGAAAGGATAGTGCAACCTGGCAGACCTAAGAAGGTCAGGAGAAGAGATCCTACTGAAACTCAAAAGACTGGAAATAGGTTGCGGAGAAAGATAGTCATCCATTGCAGAAAATGTGGTGTTGCCGGCCATAATGCAGCTGGTTGCAAGGTACAGCAACAAGACAATCAACAACAGCAGAATCAGGATAGCGAGGAGCAGGAGCAGAACCAACAGCAGCAGCGTGTTTCTAAGAATATACAGCAGCAACAGCAGAACCAACAGCAGCACCAGAGGCAGCATCAGACCCAACAGCAGCATCAAATGCAGCATCATCAGGCCCAACAGCAGCACCAGAGGCAGCATCAGACCCAACAGCAGCACCAACAACACCAGCAGCAGGATCAATATCAGCAGCAGCAAAATCAGCAACACCAGCAACAGGATCAACATCAGCAACATCAGCAGCAACAGGATCAATATCAGCAGCATCAGCAGCTGCAGGATCAGCAACAGCAGCAGGATCAAGAATATCAGCAGAACCAACAACAACAGCAATTACAATCTGCTGTTGAGGAAAGTGAACGTGCACAACATCGACAGCAGGAAGAAGTTGTATAAAATCAATAACAGTCTCAGAGCCAAGGGGCTCATCAACAAAAGAAGGCAGGAAAACGAAAGTTAACAGATTCAAAAAAGGGACGGATCAACGCCAATTATGCATATTTAGGTAAAGAACCTCCTTTCACTGTTGGAAATTGGAGAAGAAGATGGAGTAGAGCTGGTACTAGAAGAGGAGGAACTTCAGCAACAACTATAAGAGGACAACCAAGAGTCAAAAGAGGATCAACATCTGGAAATTGAAAAGGAAGTAAAGCTATAGCTAGATTGGGACATAATTCAACTACATTTTGCCTTTTTGTATGAAGTTTGTTTTGGATTTGATATGCTGACCTATTACGAACATGGTCCATATGTACAAACAATTTATTTTGTCCAATCTACGCAGATTGTTCTATGTTAATGCAGCACTTCTGTTTAGTTCTTATATCTCTGTCATTGATTGATGAAATTAGTAGAACTGAAATGTGTTGTTTCAAACCTTTTTTGACACCAAATAATAACTATTTATTCATGTGAACAATTCAACTTTTATACATCAAAATATTTATACAGAGAGGTACAAAAGGGGCTTTATAAAGCCATTTGCCCTTTCCCTTTCAATATGCTACCATTACAACCAACTGAGTAGCTATTCTTTAGTGATTTTCAACGATGCCACAAATTTGTAGCATGCCACCAGAATTATCTATTCTCCTAACAAACATTGCTAAGACAACTATTAGCCAAGGTAACACTGCACATCGAATGAGTCGCTTATTGGCTGATTTGTACTTGGCAATTTCAATTTTAAGTGGCTTCATTTTACCCTCCAATTTCACAGCTTTTGCTTCCCACTTTCTTGCAGCTTTTTCAAATTCAACCATTTTTGCCTCCATGCCATTGATCTTTCTGAGTAGACCCGGTATAATCATTGTAGATCGAGCGCACATTTCATCATCTATCCAACCCCAATAGCCACAGCCATCCTTCAAAAAAAAAATTCATTATATTTCTTACACAATAATAAATTAAATATCTAAAAAGATGTTACAAACCTCCCCCAATGCGCATTTGGCAAATCTTCTTCCCGGATTTTGTGCAGTCCATGAAGTTATCATTACTGTTTTCATCCCACAAACACAAGTAGGCAAAATGGGTGCCATCGATGTAGGTGGCATGGATCTTGCTGGCCCGGCTCTTGGTAGCGTTGATCTTGGTCCTACTTTCTTTAATCCAAGTTGGGCTTCTTCCATTTCTTTCTCTTGTAGTTTCTCTCGGATAAGTAATCTTTATTAGCTTTATACAAGAAGAACAAGAAGATCTATTTTCAACTTCCTAAATTAACCCTACCTTTTGTATTGAAAATCATGCAAACGGACAGATCAGCGAAGTTAACGACTAAATCTAACAGAATGGCCTCGCGTCTACCTTTTATACAGTTTGGTGGTCAAAACCAGACTTTTAATAGTTGAGTGACCAAAACTCGACGATGGCAAAAGTTTTGTGGCCACTGGGATAATTTGCTCTGGAAAATATTATGGAAGCTACACATCAAGCAAAAATTTAAGATTTTTGTGTGGAAGTACATTAATAATGGGCCACCAGTTAAAGATCAACTTTTCAAAAGAACACGAAGAGGAGATCCAATTTGTCGTGGCTGTGGGGAAAATGCAGAAATCATAAAGCATGTGCTGTTGCATTGTAGGAATGCAAAAGAGATATGGAAATATGCACCAGTACACTGAGATGGCCTAGAAAACTAGACAGGATGTTTCAAACAATAGTGGAACACAATGATGCAAGCAAGAAACAGAAATAAGGGTGAGGATCACATAGCTCTAACAGTCAATCTATTTTAGCAAATATGGAAAGCAAGGATTGACAGGGTGTTTAACTCATTACACAAAAATCCTTTCAAGGTGAGTGAAATAATAAAAGAGGAATGGTAGGAATATAATGAAGCAAGGCAAAATCAACCAAGAAGAAGTGCAGCAGAAACATTGAGATAGCAAGAAAGTGTCCTAGTCAACCAAACAGATTCTGAGGTTGTGACACTGAAACTAGTAATTTGAACTAAGACAAAATCCAAAACCTTGGGTATTGGGATTATAGCTTCTAATACCTAGAGACAAGGCATTGTAACGTGGTCCTTAAGGGTAAGAGAGTTAGGAAGTAAACTACAAGACAATGCAAAAGCCGTTAGATTTTGCTTGATCAAACCAGTCAAAAGAGGATGGAGGAAAATCAAGATAAAGATTGCTAATAGGAAACTATTGGATCAAATCAAAGCTAGAAGACTTACTGGAAGTGAGATAGCAACAATCTTGGAGGACATCCAAAAAATGACCTCTTGATTTTGAATGTGCTCTTTTGATAGGTTAGATCAGCAATTTGATAGCCTAAGTCATAGATTGAGCAAACTTGCTTAAGTAAACTTCTGTGACATAGAGTGGTCCTATACCACTGCATTGTGCTGATATGCATTTTTGTAAAGAATGGAGCCTTTGCTCCCACATTATATAGTTTTGACAAAATATATAATTGTATAATTGTATATTGTTATAAAAATATAAAAATTATACATTATAAAAATACTCGAAAATATGTTTTAAAAATACATCTAAAAATAATCCATAAAACATCTTCAGTAAAATTTTTTATATAATTTTTGAAAAACAACCCCAAAAATAACTAATCCAAACGGACTTGTATTTGAAAAACGAAATGCTACAGTGCTGTTTTTGAAAAACAATCCAAAAAACAGCTAATCCAAACGGACCTCTAATGTTTTTGAATCTGTAGTTAGATTTTGTAATGCATTAGATATTTTATTTAATAAATTATCTGTATTACTTATCTTTTGAGTACTAATACTTTGTACTAAATCTTGTTCTTTTTCTCTTGTCAGACTTCTAGGTTGAAAATGAGGTGCTGATATATCATTTGGGAATTTTAAATCTGGTTTCTTTAGTGTATCAATTTTTGTATTTAATACTTCCATATGTTGAGATATTGTATGAAGAATTTGATTTGTATAATTATTTTGTTGATAAACTTTTTTAAGATCTTCAAGATTTATTGAATTATTTGTACTTGATTCAGCTTCTCTTCCCTTTTTAAAAGGTGAGGCTATTACTTCTCCTTTTCCTAGATTAATTTTTACTTCTTGTAATGGAGGGTGTATTGATGTTAATATTTGATCATCTTTTAATTTCCATTTTTTATATAAATTAGTTTGAACATTTATTTGTGGAATATTATAAACATCACTTATTCCTAATTTTGATGTGTAAAATGTTAACCATGTAAAGAAAGGAAAGTCAAACTTTTGTTTTTCTATTTCTATTTTCCATTCTAATATTAATTTTTCTTTATATTCTGATTCTAATTGAAAAAACCAAATTCTTTTTTCTGTGTTTTCTTCATCATCAAAATCTTCTTGTAAATATTTATGATTTATTTTATATGGTCTATTTATAACATTTATTTCTCCTTGCATTTGAGAATGTGTTGGGGAATAGTCAGATTTATTTTGATTTACCACTTCTGGAATAGGAGTTTTATATTTAAAATTTGATGTACTTTCCATAGGGAAATTAATTTCAGATGACTCATAATTTGAACGTCTAGCTGGTAACCATGAATAAGATGATTCTGGTCTTTCTCTTAATGATGTAAATCTTATTAAAGTACTTCCATCCGATTTTTCTATAATATCTTCAGTAGTTTGTTCTATATTTCTTGCTACTTGTGGATTTTTAATTTCAAATTTACTAGGTATAGTAATTTCATTCCATTTTAATCTTTTTGGAATATATGTAGTAGGTCGATCTGCATCTACTTACAATAAAGCAATAGAACCTTTTAGATATTTTGCTAGTTGTTGAATGGGTCTAATTGGAGAAATAATTGGAGTAGCAGCCTGACTATAAGTCAATGCTGGGAAATCTGATAAAAGTTGAAATCTATTTTGAGTTACAGGGGTAAGACTCATCTCATAATCCTGAGGAGTCTTTGGCCTGGAACTTCCTGCTTTTGAATCCATGATCCTGCAAAATTTTAACAAATAATCTTGTTAAGCTGTTCTTTAAGCTGTTGAATTCGAATTAAAATTGGCTGAATATCTTCAGGAGGATGATTGGCTTTTTCAAGAACATTCTTAAATATAATGTTTGAATTGATCTGCCTTTTTAGAAGAAAGGCTTGTTCTTTTGGTGTGGTTGCAGCCCAAACGCTGTGTCTAATATGAACTGTATCATGATTTCGAATTTGAGAATAAGGAATTGGTTGAATAGTTTTATCGGGATTTTTGACAAAATAGGTAAAGGGTCTATGAGAAATATTTGTGGCTCTTTTTTGAAGAATTGGGTTATCTCGTTCAGCTCGAAGTCTTCGAAGGTATTCTTTGTGAGTTTCACGTTCCATTTCCCTGTAAAAATTCTCTAGTCAAGAAGTCAGGAAGGGAGTTATTTTCTCCTTTAATAAATTCTATGTCGAAATCGAACACAGATAAAATAGCTTGCCATCTAGCAAATATTTGCTTTGAAACTATATTTTGAACATCTTTTTGTAAAATCTCTTTTGCAGATTTACAATCTATTCTAATTAAAAATTTCTTGTTATACAAATCATCTTGGAATTTGGATATACA